GTTGTTTAAATGATCTCTTTTCATAGCATTTTCAAAATAAAACGGGTTTTTGAAGAGGGCGCGAAATTTTTGCGGACGAACCGTTTTAAGGACCGAGAGATGCCAGTTTTTGGGCGGTAAACTTTTTCTCGAGAATATAAATGTAGTTGTTTTTAAGTAGTGAGGAAATGATGCGCTAGCAAACAGTGCTACTATTTTTTGCTGAATTTCGAGGGTCCGGTTCTGCGGCGGGTCAGAAATGAAAAAGGGATTCTGTTATTTTCTTTTTTTTTGTTGTTAATCGTAGATTAACATCGTTCCCACCTGTTTGAAATCACAGAGACAGTTGCTTACAGACTTATCTTTTCGTTTTTGAGACAAAAATAGGCCAGTAATGGTCGAGTGGGGCAAAAATTTATTTGAAAAACTGAATATTAGCTAACAAATTATCGAAAACAAATGTAAATTGGCGGACGGAAATTTCCTGGTCTCGGCATGCGTAAAAAAGAAGGTCCGTTCTTGATCGAAGCAAAAAAAAATCGTTTTTCTTGGAAAACAGCTACAAGAGGCATCTCAAGCTTCACCTTGTCTGGATTTTACTCGAGCTAGCCCTAACTAACGAAGAATAAAATTCGTGCATATTTAGTTTTTATTTTTAAATAATAGCGGCACCAACAAAGACATCATTACTGAAACATCCAGATCAGAAAATTTGACAATATGCAAAAATATACATGCATTTGTTTGTTTTGCACAATTTTCTTCTTTTGAGGGGACCAATTTTCTCGATGAGATCAACCAGTCCCGCTACGATTCATTAATTTGTTTCGATTGTAAACTAGTACTGGCATATGTCAGGGAGTTAAACTTTTATTTCCTAGGCACTCTCCAAAAGAGGGAACTATTGATAGTTTTTTTTTAGCAGAAGGCTGCTTTTGTTACGTGCAGTAGCTACCAAGGATATTTTCGAGTACCACTACCTTTCACAGAAAGCAAATATAGAGGAGATTTAACTTTGTAGTAGATTTAACTTTTAACAATTTATAAGAATAAACCAGAAGAATTGTGCTTAGGTGTCATGTGTAAGGTGATATTTTACGATGCAGTCTGTGTTTCGTCCCTTAGCTGTCTGTATACACATACTGAACTATGCATACGGGTAGGAATGGGAATCGTCAGTATATATTATTTTTTAAAAAACAAGTGCATTTTTTTAAATACAACTTTTCTATTTCCCCTCGAATTGACTGGTACCCACTTTTTCCCTCTCTTTTTGCCTCGTTTATCTATAAATTCAACGTTTTTTGGAAGCTGTCAGCTCACATTCGTAACAGTGTGTATGTATGCTGCATTTGTGTATTTTTGTGTGTACGGGTAGTCTTTTTTTTTT